AGCAGCCGCTAAGTCTCGTATGCTATTGCGCCTTTCTCTGCTCGCCTCTTAAGGACAAGTACATTCATTGTTTCATATTTCCTTATGTGCCCGTACGGGCTAACCCCTTTTTAATGCATTCGGTATGTTAAAAGTTGCTCACCTAAGGTATACAATTTTTCCTGGTTTGTTCTCACTCTGTCGCTGGACTGGTATTTTTTTGAGTCAAAGATTTTTTCCCCTCTGTCCATGGCGCTCCCGGAGCATCCTAGCAACGCATTTTCTGAAGATAAGCTCGCTTTCCCCTTCTCAAGTATAATCGTCGCCGACATAGAGTCACATCCTTCATTGCTTTGACCATTTTTGCAGTTTTAACTGAAAGAAAGCGCAAGGCCGTATCTACATGTATAAGACTCGAGTTTCGTGAGAAGACCGTCGCGGCTGCAGGGTACTCACTACTCGTGACAGTGGAATTTCAACATTCGCGGTACTAGTTTGAAGGTCTTGAAGTCATGGAACTGCTGTACTTTTAATTGCCAGGAGAGATTTTGGCAGCGAGTGTAATTGAACGAGTGTTTTACTATTTTCAACTTGAAAAATTTAGTGATAATACACTGTTCGTGGTTAGTCTTACGCAACTCGTTTCGTTTCGGTCAAGGGACTCATCAGAGACCTTTCTGCTTGGCAAAGCAGATGCCCAACGATGTTTAAACTCGTTGGACATCGCGCTCAAAGTCCCGTTCGCTAACAAAATGATGACGGCAATCTCACCTTATATCGCATAAGGATTCCCGACCGCACAGATTCAAGAGTAAAAATTGAAAATAAAGTTGACAGTACTTGCGATAATACATTGTTCCCCTGAAATAGCCATAAATTAGCGCTTTTGTGAAAAGTAAATGTTTCCAAAGGATCATTCCGAAGTTTGTACGATGCCAATTCTCGACACTTAGCATATAAATACGCCCACAAGTCTCTCCCGAACGCACAATTAACGAGAGTAAAAATTAATCGAAACTTTGTAAAAACTACGATTTACTTTTGCAGATGAACTCTTTTTCCCATGCACGCCACAAATATATATGTCACAAAATCAATTTCAAGTTTTTCAGAGATAAGTGTCTTTACGCGGCCAGCCTTTGCAAAGGGCGTGTTGCCCCCAAATATTCCACTTGACCATAAATGAATCAACGTCACTAAAGATCAACTAATTAACTGCAGTCAGGCAGTAAAATGCATCCCGCTATCAAGAGAAAGAACTCTATTCATGATGCGCTCTGGAAAGATCTTTGCCATTAGTTCATAGTAGTCTTAATATCACTTGATGTTAGTCATATTTCACAAATAAGATTAAGACCAGCTGATAAGATCACTGATAGAACCCTAGATATTTTCTTCAGACTGTACATGTCACCAAATTCCAACGAAAAATGCCGCTCTGCTCACCCGTTTAATTTGCATTTTCAATGCCTCTGCAACCGCAAAATGTTATCTATTAGCATTGCAGATATTTTCGTTATTATACTTAGCCAACTGTGTCCATTTCTTGGAAAGATTGTTCGCATTCCTGATAATCATCCATATTAACAAGTTATTTGTAGACGCGACTTAATCTAACATAAGTTAGTCCCTTTTTGCTCGCCTCGTGTCATGGTTTAATATCAATACTGTCACCTTGGCTGTAAAGTAGACTGTAGAGTTTACGTTGTCTGAAATGACACGAGTATTGTATTGAAGGATTGCGCGAATTGCACGCGCTACCAAGTACTGTTGCAACAACAAGTAGGTCTTTTTACTTTGCCCAGCTGTTTAATTTTAAGTTTTGGTGCCACTGCAACTGCACAATTGTATATAACAATTATTTCAAATATGTTCCTCTTCACACGCAGCCGACTGTGGCCATTTCTTGGAAACTGAGCACGTTTGTCAGCCCTTGTGATAATTTATGCAAGTTAATAAGCCATCTCTAGGAGGGATGCGAAAACAAGCGTGTTTCCTATCACGTTTGAATACTTGACTCTGGCTTTGCACTAAAGTAGGCTAAAGGAAGGGGGTGGGGGAGTGAATAGATTCAAGGATCGACGGATTAGACCTTGAAAAGCCAAAGTGATAAAGTGATAAATTTGACGGATTTGGGGATCAGCTGCGAATTTTGGCCGTCTTCTAGTTCGCGTTGATCCATAACATTGTTCAAGTTGACATGTTGGTGTTCTCTATTTTTCGGTCTTTTTCATTAAAATTGGTTTGAATGTCATTTTTCTCCAAAAAAAATTCAGCAACTTACAATACATTTACACTGAACCGGTTAAGCATTGCAGCATTCATGGTAAAATCAACACAGAAAGGTCTGCATTTTATTGCATTAAAACTACGGCACAAAATAA